TCGGGCTGTGATAACCATGTCGGGATGCAAACAAATACTGGGAGCCGTCTCTTCGTCTTTTTCTCTCCTTCTTTCTTTCTCTACTCTCTCTCTCTCTCTCTCTCTCTCTCTCTCTCTCTCTCCCTTCAGAAAGCTTATTTATAATCATAGGCATTCCATATTATAAATCAACAAACTAATGATGCCACTTCAACTGTAATTGTATTTATAGTTTCATTTCTATCAGATCAGTTCTCCAAGGAAGCCTGACGTCTCCAGCTCGCTGACTCAAACAGAGAAAGCAAAAACTTCAGCGCAACTTTCACCGTAAGTATGTTGATTACTTCGGGCTTGTGTACAATCAATGCACGTGTTAATAGTAATTATTAGACAGTACATACCATACAAGTGAATAATGCTTTTTGAGCGCGCTGATTGGTTAGTTTGGACTTGAATATATCAAGCACTATTCACCTCTAAGCAGCTGTTCAGACAAAATGGCAAAATCGCAATCCGACCATTTTTCGGTATGTTGAAAGAAATAAACTTTTTTTTTTAATATCAATGTCTATACTAAAACAATTATTCACCTCAGTGTCGGTGAAAGTGGTGGATGTTCACCTCCACTTTGGTGATGATTGTTAATTACAGTTTACTTATCTCGACTGTGAACCTAAACAGTTACGACAGCGACGTCTAAAACAAACAACTGTTGAACAAATGAACTTTCAATCAACTTGATGTGATACGCTCCCATCCTAGTCTCCCTCACAGCCGTTATTAGAGTCGTGGGGGGAGGAGCGTTGCGTGACGACCCTAATAACGGCTGCGAGGGAGACTACTCCCATCCCCCCCCCCTCCTGACGTCGTCTGCTGAAGCAATAACTCACATTTTGACTCTCATCAATGACGTTTGTTTAGCGGTTTTGACACTCTCACTCCCCCCCCTTCCCCCTTCAGTGAGCCTTTTGTTTAGACGCCAACGAACTTGGTAAATTTTGTTATGTGCGCGTATTTTGTCGTTAGGCGGAAGGACAGACACAAGCCATGCAGTCCTTCGCGAACGTATCATGTCAGAGTATGACGTTATGTTGAAGTGACATTTGTCAATCGTTCCCACTTTATACTGGCATACCGCTGGTAACTTATGACGCAGCGTAGAACAGTCACATGGCTCAACAGTAAAACCAACTGAAGAAGATTCCCGTCAGAGAGCTGTTCCCAGAGGACTGGGCACGTTTTAAAGTCGTTCATACCGTCATTGAAGTGAAAAGGATGAGACGCCTGTGTTGTATTTTGGACATTTCGTCAGAGAGTGAAGTTCATCACTCGTTTTCTAAAACAAGCAAACATCCATTTTCTAGTCAACTCTTCATGTCAACTCTTCTAGTCAACTCTTGAGTGCAAATGACAGTTTTTTAATAAATAAACTCTCAATCTATTACAAGAATTGTCTCAATCATACGTAGATACTCTTATTCCTCTTTTTAGGAGAAATTCTCTCACGGAAACAATTAAAATATCGAAAACTGCAAGCTTTCCTTCCTAGCCGTATCTTGGATCAGTCATTTTGGTCATTAACACTCACGCAAATTATCTTGACTTTTCCGCTGTCTTCGTCCTTTGTAAAGGTGAAAATTTTAAATTTCTGTTATTATTTTAAACGTGTCAGGTGTAACGAATGTAACCTGGGACAGCGTACCAGATGTATGTGAATATTCAGGGCCTACCTTGACGAACAACTCAGATTCAGTAGAGCAAGTTTTACGGACTGAAATGTTTCCGGAGCAGGGCATTTAAACTTTCATTAAATTTCAATGGTAGTTGCCTGCTGTCTCATTGTCTTCGAGAGACTCGAGGGGAAGAAGAAGAAAAAAAAAAAAAAAAGAATGCTTCGGCTTTCGTAAATGAATTACGCGTCCAAGCGGATTCACAAGTTTATTTACAGAGAAACACAAGTCTTAAAATAAAAAAAAATTACATGCATGGTCATGTTACAAGCACCTCACACTTACAACGAGAAAAAGTTTGGACTGAACGACAAGTAATCAAATCCGCGAAACGGAAGGATTTATAGGAGCCAATAGGGTACTAAGGTAATTCCACTTGAAAAGGTTGCGTTTCGTTTTCATTTAAAACCTGATTGATTTAGAAGGAAGCGTTAAGGTTTTTAACCTGATCAACATCATCCCAGATTACTTGTTATACTCAATTGAAATTCGCGGTTAATTGCTTTCACTTTTTTCACACTGTAATCTCATCCCCACGCTTAATTTTATTTCTTGCTTTGGTCAATTTCAATTAAATCTTGTGAGCTCACACATGCCAAAATTGCAAAATGCTACATCTTGCCACAAACCGTATACTTAAAATTTTATTTATTTGCTATTTAAACTAAGTTTCCCGTTTGCTATTCTTCTTCGTCAGTTGGGGAAGGGATGGTTACCGATATCTTCTCCATTTGGACGGGTGACCCCGCTGGCGATTCAGCCTCGTTTTGAGGTGGAGAATTCGATGTTTCCTTGAGAGCCTGAGGCGAGCTCAGTTTTCGTCTATGACCCACTGAAGGGGTGGCCGGGGCACTTAGCGGCCGCTCACTGAATTCGGCGATGTATTCTGGGGGAGGGGAGGGTTCCCTTGTGTTGTTCTGTCCTATTGCAGGAAGCTTAGTTTTCATGCAGCGCTTTAGGCTATTGTCACGTGGTACGATGAAATCTTTGCGTGGTAGCGCGACAGCAGCGTCACTATCTTCACGTATAACCACATACTGGCTGAGATGAGAGCCCGTTGTTTTGAAGGAGCGCCTGTATGGATGCATGATGGTGTGTGAGCCTCCGCAGTACCGTTGGGAGGGAGGAAGCTCTATCAGATCCACAAGACCTGTCATGGCCACCACCTCATTCTTGAGCTTCTGCGCCTGGTAACCGAGGTCGGCGCCGATAACCGGTGGCTTCTTGGCGATGTTCATCTTCTGGTGCAGTCGGATGTGCTCCAGTTCAAACGTCGTGTACGGTTTAGAAGACTTCTGTCCGGGCAGGCTTTGCATCTTTGGCATGTTAGGCCCAATCTCTCCTGGGTTGAGTTCCAAAGGCCGATCACACGAAATACAGTGAACTTTCTCCGGCTTGGTCCTAAAAACAAAAATTTTCGACAAAGATTAACCGTACTTTTTCTAACTAATGGACATAACAGTGCGAGCAGCGGGTTTCTTTTAGTTCTTGCTGAACTGTAGTTAACTATTTTCATCTGAACTGCGGTTATAGAAACGTATTTGTGCACGATCCTCGCAGTAAAGAGTACTATTTAAGCAATAGTGAAAATCAGACCTGAAATAATTCAGGCCTGTACGGGATTCGAACCACTGACCTCTGCGATACTAGTGCAGCGCTCTACCAATTGAGCTAACGAGCCAACTGGGAGGAGGTCATCAAATTAATTGGACATAAACCCGACATGAACCCGTGCTCCCAGTTGGCTTGTCAGAACTTGCAGCCTTAACATTCATACTGTACCTCCTAAAGCCAGCCGGCTCGCAATCCTCAGGTTTTTCCTTAACGGTGGCTCGTACAACTTGCACTTGTCTGATGCGTGATTCCAGTTGGTCTCGAAGTGAATCCAGCTCTTGTCTGTCGAGTTTAAGGTGCATCTTGCTTTGTAATTCTTGTAAAGTTTCTCTTAATGCGTCTTCAATGCTCATTTGGCTTTCCATTTTCTCTAGGGCATCACTGAGCCCGCGGTCCAGCAGGTTAAAGCTCTCGTCAAATTGGTTCACACTCACTTTCGACTCTAAGTCTCCTTTGTCCGCCTGCGGCACATAATAATAACACGAAATCAGTCCACTTTTAGCTTTGAAAGAGAGCTTCTAAAAACAAGGTTGAGACCAGACATTTAGCAACAAAACAGGACAACCAGAAATGCTATTCTGTTTATGAAGGGATAATTTTCCTTTTATTCAGTTCCACCCATTACTCAATCCAGTCGACAGAGAAGCCCTCTAAACCGCTAGAATAAAGCAGTTTGCTTGTTTGTTTTTTTCACCGGTTTTCCTTCTTTTCTCTCTGGTCAAGAATATTCATGCCATCCTCGTCAACAATCACATGCCAAATTTAAACCAATAGCGATTAAGTCATTCGCGTTTTCACTAGCTTTTGGCGTTCTTTTTTGCGTTATAAACCTTGCTTTCTTATTGGTTCCCTGTGATAATTTCCCTAATTTTGATTGGCCATCAAAACTTTAGTTTTACGACACTCCATCGAAAAATTTTTTAGGTCGTCCTCTAACGCACTTACTGATTGCCGTTTTACTGAGGTCACTCGCCAACTAACTTAACTGACCTTTATGCCAATTTCCTGACTGACATGCTGTTTATCAGCCTTCTTCTGGTCCAGTCTATCAACTGAATCAAACAGCTCCTCCAGGCTCTTTTCACGCCTGTTGTACTCGTTCACGAGCTCTGCGGTGGTCTGGACCAACTTTTCATGTTTGGCTTGCAGTTCAAGTACCATACTGTGCACGTGATGTACTGCGTTGAAGCCTTCAGCATCCTGTGATAGAATAAAAAAAGTCGAGTAGGTATGGTAAGTTTTACACGAGCGATTGTAATCTGCGCGGTTACCTCACTAAATTAGCCAAAATAATGATTTACTCCTCCCCCCCCCGCCACTTCTTTCCATAGCTACTGACTAATGCGGAAGAGCACGCGCATCAACCATACATGAAATAATACATTGTGCGCATGGGCACCACAATGCTACAGCAGGACCCTTGCTTCTGTTTCATCACTACCAAATACAAATCCATTGCTAACCTGAGCTTTTCTCGACGCGCGGAAGGCAGCCAAATCCTTCGAAATTAGCTCAATAGCTCTCTTATTCTTTTCCATGTCTTTCTTGAACTCTTCCTGTGATTGCATAAAGCTTTTCTTCATATTATTCATCTGCTCAATGCTGAGCCTCAAGGCATAAGCTTGAGCTTCTGGATCATCCGTGTTCTCCAATGCCGCTTCAATCTCCTCCATGATCATTTCTTCCATTGCTTCTCTTTCTTCCTCAGAGTCGAGTAACTCATCATCAGAGCTATCCTCGCCCTTCTTCTTATCCGCCTTCTCTTTCTCGTCCTCCTTTCCTTTCTCTTTTTCTTTTGCTTTGCTTTTCTCTTCTTTCTTAGTTTCTTGCGCAGCCTCTCGTGCCTCTATTTCCTCTATAGTTACACCCTCCTCGCGGGCTTTCCGCCGCAGTTTCAAATCCTCTATGGTGGTGCGCCTTTGTAGTGGAGTCTTATCTTCCTGACTGGGGGGTCGCTTACCGCCCTTCATTGGCAAACTTATCTTGCGCTTTTCATCCTTCCTCGAAGGCAGACGACCAGGTTGTAGCTTAGGCATATCCTGTGATATTTGGCCCGGGGGCGGGATAACAGGAATCACGTTCGTGGGCTGGGCATGATCTTCACCCACACCTGGAGCTGGCTGAGATCCCTCAGTAATGATCCCATCCTTGGGTACGTCCTGGGGACCTTTAGCTTTGGATCCTTTTCGTTTCTTCTCCTTCTTTGGAGCTTCACCTTCAGGAAGAAGTTCGACCTTGTTGAGCTGCTGTTGAACCTGATCAAGTTGGGCCTTCAGGATTCCTCCGACCTCATCACCAAAATCGACTTGATTCACCATGGAGTCGATGATATTTCTTAAGCTCTTGATTCCCATCTCGGCTGCCTCAAGTCGTCGATTGATGTTAATCAACTCGGGCGTCTCAGAAAGTGAATCCATTGTCATTCTTCGCTCCTTCTTCGTGTCGTCCTTTTTGCCGTACACGGAGTCACCTCCATAAGAACTCTTTCTATCTCGTTTCTTCTTCTTGTCATCCTTCTCGTCGCCTTCCTTTTCGTGTTTTGAATGCTTCCTTTCCTTCTCCCTGGAGCTGTCTTTGTCCTTACTGTGTTTCGATTCCCTTCGCTTCTTTTTTTCTTGTCCTTCCTTTTCATTTCCGTCTTTCTCGCCGACTTCCGATTGTTTCTTTTTTGGTTTAGGTGGCTTCTTTACCATCACTGTTACAGTCTTCTCTTGACCATCCTCGTCTATTACAGTCTGTATCACCTCTTCTTCGCTCACATGGCCATCATCCGCAGATTCCTCACTTTCTGTGAAAAAAAAAATTTGTTCATTGAATCAGCATAAGGATGTAGCAGAAGGGAGGGGAGAGGTGGTGTTCGTGGGAAAACGTTACCACCTTATTTCGATATGAGAAATTATACATAATATTACACAACAAAAATAGCAATAATAGTAATAATAATGATAATGACGATAGTATTGGTGATGGTGATGCTAATGCTGATGATATTTATACAAATTATGAAATACAATAAGCGCTCTGGTAGGTAAAAGATATTTTCATTTATTGCACCGCTAAACCCATAGGAAATTGAAATATAAGTCTATTCGTGCGCGCAGCTCGTGACTTACAAACTTTTCTCGTGTTGTCCCAACATCTCGCGTGGGTCATTACGCCGGCAAACCGATAGAAAATGCGGTCTATTGCCTAACTGGTGGCTTTCAAAATTCTAAAACAGCGCTGGCGAAGGTGGCTTGAAAATGCTAAAACAGCGCTGGCGAAGGTGGCTTGTCGAGTTAAACAAAAAAAAAAATTTCTCCGCAAGGTTTTTGCATAGTTGAATTTCCATCGAACGAGTAAATAGCACAGCGATACTGATTATAAACAACAACAAACATATGAAACATATGTGTGAACTGCGGTTATGAGACGTATATGAGCACGATCCTTCGCAGCAAAGCACTATTTGAGCAATAGTGAAAATCAGACCTGAAAAAAAAAAAAAAAAAATTTTTTTTTTTTTTTTTTTTTTTTTTTTTTTTTTTTTCAGGTCTGATTTTCACTATTGCTCAAATAGTGCTTTGCTGCGAAGGATCGTGCTCATATACGACTGATTATAAAGTAAAATACGTCGTTACAAATACGTAACCCCGTTAAATTCCAATGTCGTAGACGTCGAAAACTTCGGTGCAGACCGGAAAAGTACTTAGGATCCTTCAGTGGCGATTAGCTGTTTGCGTGATAATTGGTTGATTGAATTGCGCTTTCAGCCAGCTCTTTTCAAACTTTGCATAAGTCCAATGAAGTATACTTGATGACTAAAAGAAAATTTGTCCACCATGATATTCTTTCCTGTGAATTTGTTCGCACGAAACGAAGATTTTGTGCGTATTTGCGGAGATTAATTTGGATAACTTTTTGTCAAACACAAACAAACAATAAATGTACTTGAGGCATTGTGAGTATCAATAAAGACCCCAAACTAAGTT